CGAGTATTCTTCCACATCACTGCCTTCTTGTTGTCTTCGAAATCGAGGATTCCGTCTCCTGTCTGCTCCAAACTCACTACCACCTCCATATGTAGGCTTCTTCTCCATGCACTTGGAGTAGGAATCCATGTTGTTCTCGCGTTGAAGGAATACCTCCTCTTTAGAGTACAACTCAACATCCTCCTTATTGTACTTCAGCACACTGAATCTCCGATTTGCATGTGGATGAACGCGTATCTTGAAGAAGGGAAAAGAATAGATTCATTCATTCATTCACTCATTCATTCGATAAATCATTCGATAATTCATTCTATTTCACAAACCAGGAAGAGTTCTTCCTGGTTTGCGAAATAACGTAGAACTTAATTTCGTTTTATCTTTCAATTTATCTGTGTGAGATTTATGAATCTCAGTGCATGTTTCGCATTCAATCTGAAGCACGACAACTGCTTACTCGAAGTATTTCAATTTAGTCTGTTTATTTAAATGAGATAAGAGAAAGAGTATTCTGTAAGACTATGGCTTGATCTAGGGATACTTGCAGTTTAAAGGAAATTTTGTTAACCGCTCAAATTAGTCATGGTTTAATACTGCAACTACACCCTAACCCCCCTTCCCTCCAACCCCCACATGATTGAAACTTTCGAACATATCCACAGCCAACATTTTACTCCCAACCCTATTCTTCTAAGTGGTTACTCATTCGAGCTTGTTCGATTGAACTTCTCATCTGCAACCACTGTAGGCTCTTAGTTAATTGGTGGTCCATTTCCAAACTCTACATCTTATTGACTCGAATCTTATTCCGTTAGAACCTGGAGTCGTGTAGAGTTTTGCCTTAACACTAGTGACATTCGAGAGTGGGCAAATTGAATTAGCTTTCTATGATTTGTGGACTGACAGGGGTGGGGTGGGATTTGGTGGGGGAGGGGGGGGGATATGTTGGGTTATTTAAAGATTGGGCCTATTTTATCGACAATGGGAGCAATATTCAAGGGCAACCCAACCAATAAAGAGAATAATATTACTAGAGTACATACTCTGCATGAAAACTTGTTTTCAAACCGATCCGCAATAAAATGATCCAAACTCCCTACCTACGTGAACTTTACATGCTAATAATAGTTGCTTAATTGAGGTCAGTTAAGGTCACTGAATAGTGCAATAACAGAAATATGGAGTCCATATCTTTCGTATTGATCAATACAACTGTGGCACTTTCTCTTCGACAATGTGAGCAATATTCAAGGTTAAGCAAACAAACTATAAGATTTTTATTACCACAGTCAATATTGACTCATAAAATTAGTTTTCAAACCGATGAGCAATAAAATGATCCCCCCTCCCTACTTACGTGAACTTTACATGTTAATAATAGTTACCTAATTGAGGTCATTTAAGGTCACTGAATAGTGCAATAACAGAAAAGACGAATCCATATTCTTTGAATAGATGAATACAACTGTGGCTTTAACTGCTCATGCAAAGAGAAGTTAAGTTGAACATTATTTTCGATTACATACTAGAGAGTGTAAATTACTAAGACTTGGTAGTAAGTGCGTGACTGACAGTAAGTAAAATAGGCTGATTAATAAGTAAATGTCTACTTTGAATGAAATTAGACATTTGGAATAATTAGTTGGAATTGTACTCACCGGCATCCGTGAACGGACAACGGCAGTTGCATCTTCTTCTTCTTCGTCTTCTTCATGTTTTATTGCCTTTCGAAGGAAGAGGGATAATGGCTTGGTGGACTGTTTAAGAGTGGACCTGATTTTGAACTTCTCCGCCATTCGCTTCATGGCATTGTCAATAATTTCATTTCTGCGTGATCGAAAGGCTTTCATTGGGGAAGTGGACTTTGGCTTCAGGTATGGCGATGAGTTGTGGGGACTTTCCTGTTTTTCAATCCCATTTGTTGGCATTTGACTGGGTGTTGGGGACGACTGAGGGACAATTTGAATGCAACGGTTAGGTTGTTTTCCTGATGGTAGAATAACGGGGGTTCCAGTGGCCCCAGGTGCTTTGGCAGATCTGTTGATGTAGATTTGACGTTTACCGATAACATTAACTGGGTTCTTAGGTGCACTTTGAGTAACAGTGTTATTACCGACTGTATTTGAGGATTCGGGTTTGAATACAGGCAAGACCTTCACCATATTGACCGGTTTTAGTTGTTGGTTGTTGTTATGAACTTCAGTCATTATTCACTTGATTAATGAGAAGGAGGTTAAATGCGACGCAATAGAACACTGAAATGGAGCAGAATGAGAAATAAGAGAGTAAGAGAGCCTTTTATACTGAAGTTTGCCCATCGGATTCAAATAACTGAGCATGCTCGATTGTATTGGCTGTTGTGATATACTCGAGCCCAATCAACCAATCAGGTCATTTACAGTGTGTAACCAATAAGAAAAATGCGCTCACATTTTGCAGCATACAGAACTCGAAGAGCTGCAAGAGCTGAAATACCAAGTATATATTTTTCGAAAATTAGGCCCTATTTTGATTAACCGATTCACTTCAAACTTCAAATTCTGGAAAATGCTGCAGAAGTATGACACTAGGATGTTTTCATTTAAGTTCCTCGAATTTTGTCGGCCAAGTGTTCTGTAAATACTGAAGATTGAGCACGTAATTTCTTTTTTAATGTAATATTAAATCAACAAGGCCAATAATCATTCTGACAGTCCGCTAAATATGTGCATCGAAATTAATGCTGGTTCAAACAAGACACCGTTTGGCATACTATTTCACTACAACGGCATCCAATTTGACCAGAGATGTAGCGTATTAATTGGAGAAAAATTTTGCTCGAGGTAGTGCATTTCTCACCGCAAGTGATACGAGTCGTTGTCCCAGTGGTCAACATGTGTGCTACTAAGTCATAGGTCACAGCAACTGTGTGCATTCGAAGAATCAGATGACCAGCTAATCCGTGACGGGTTACTTCTGGCTACCAAAACAGTGAAAGAATGCGCGAGATTCGTAGTGAATGAAGTAAAAGGTACTAGTGACTACTGCAATGTTTCCATTATTAGAACTATTTGCTTTCCCACATATGCATATATTTGTAACGCTTTCTTCAGTTCTGTGGCTTTCTGTATTAGACCAGATTGTTATGTCTTGGTCTATTCTCATGGGTGCTGAAGAATTTATTCTTGGGAATGCGCAGAAGCTTCTCATACAGGATCAAGGTCTTCTCTTTGATATCGGAATCAATTGTGGCGTTTCCTGTAACCAGGAGCATTGGATCAATGGGTGGTGATTTTATCCCTCCAGTAATTAGTCGTAATGTTTGGTTGTGTGCCTTCACGAGTGGTTTGAGAGTCACCTCTGTGGCTGTAATGAGTGGCTCACAGCAATACAACATTATTGGCTGAATAAACATCTTGTAAGTGGTGTTAAGAGTTGAGCGTGCACAGCCTTATATGCTACCAGCAAGATGCTTCAGTACATTCAATCTATTGGAGACTCGTTCTGCTATTTTAGCAATGTGAATTTTCCACGTTAGCTTTGTGTCAAACGTCATTCCGAGATAAGTAAACTCATTGGTTTATTCTAGGGTAGTATCCTTGTACATTGCATCGAGTTTATGCTTTGACGGACCAAAGAAAATGTTTGGAATGCAGTTTTCGCAGTGTTGATAATCATTTCATTGTTGTCTTTTGAGAAAAACGAAAAGCGTTTTGTGTGTGGGGGTAGCCAACGTAAAAGGGAGCTCATC